GCAGGCGCGAGAGGGGGCTGGCTCGAGGGCGAGGGCGAGGGCGAGGGCGAGTTCCTCCATGCCGGCGAGGGTCAGTGCCTGCGCAGCCCCGTCGCGCAGGCAGACATTGCTGGGACGGAGCCGATGCGAAGGACGACTCCGCTTTTTGGCGTTGATTTTGCCGCTAAGCCCCCCGCTGCCGCCTCTGCTTCCACACCCGAGACACCCTGGGATACTGAAGATGATTTTACACGCCAAATCTGCATTATGAGGTAAGGGCGAGGGCAAAATATTGATTGAAATAATGAGCTAGACATCTTGAAAATCCCATTTTGTTTAGGAGATGCATCGCTTGGAGAGGCGAGGATCAGGTGGATGTTCACACGCCAGGCAGGTGGAGGAGGAGGAGGAGGTGGAGGAGGCAGCGGTCTCTGAGCAAGACCTCGCGCTCCACCACAGTGGAACTTCCACCAAGTGGAGGTGGAGCTGTATGGAGGGATTCGGCCAGGTGGATGGCTCAGCAGCGGCAGGTGGATGTTCTCCCGAGGAGGCAGGTGGACCATCCCAGGCTCTGTGGTCGTCTCCCTGCAGATGGATCGTCCCTGGCTCTGTGGTTGCCTTTCTTCAGGTGGATCGTCCCAGTGTATCACTCTTGGCCCTGTGCGAGTGGAAATGCATAGTGGATAATGTGGCTATGACCGAGTCAGAGCGGGTGGACTCCTAGTGTGTGATGCTGCCACTCAAGTGGAGAGATTTCGAGGAATCAGTTTTAAGAGTACATAGTGTTCAGTGAATGAGAAACAAACATTAAGAATAAATATACCTTAGCAAAACCAGTAATGATGGCTGTGGATACTATTGCTAAATGCATCCAAATTTACAAAGAACTAATATCTTCGCTCAGAAATTTCGCGTGGGTGCCCTGGACTACTATTGAAAGTGTTTTTCCTCCTCTGGACAGTCAAAGGCTCATAAACTGTATATCAGGTGACTGACATGAACAAAGACTGTATTTATCATTTCCAAGTGGTGGTCTGATGTTATTTCAGCGGCTGCAAGTTAATTTTCATGTTACTGATGATTATTTATTAATTTTAAGTCGAATATTCTCTTTGTCTGAGTGACTAATCAGTCTTATCTGCCTGTTTCCTCGATGCTTGCCATGCCCCACCCCCTTCGGCAGCTGTCAAAACCAAGTGTTGAGTTCTAAAGGAGAAACTAGTTCTTTTGTTTTATTATGTTTACCATGTGTCCCAACCTACTGAAAAAAAGGAAAAAGTGGTTGAAAAATTACAAAAAACAAAACAAAAAGAAAAACATTAGAATTGGCTTATTAGCAGTGAATTTTGGAGAATATATTGCCGTGTCGCAAAAGGTGGTGCAATGTAACACGAATAATTACAATAGTGAAATTTATATGATTTAAAAGCTTTCTTGATATTCAATTATTGAAGGCGTGGAGTGAGAGAGTGGATATTTGGTATAGAAATGTTCAAAAATATATATATATAATCTTTTTGATGTGGATACTAAAATCATCATATACACCCATTCATGTTTCAGTATTTGCATTAATGAAATCTTGTAATTTTTTTTCATTCATTGATAAGGGAGCTGTCCCATTTTGAAACTACACTTTGGTGTTTTTCCCTTCGAAGTTTAATTCATTGCTTGAGATATCTCGTATTTTATCATCATTATCATCATTTCTGTTCCTAATATTTTCTAATATTTTCACGTTATTAGTGTTATTAATTTCTTTATCATTGTCATTATCATTTTTTTTTTTTTTTTTTTTTTTTTTTTTTTTTTTTTTATTGCCATCTTTAATTTCATGATCATAATGTTTATTGTCATTATTATTTTTATCATTGCATATTGTTTGTAATATTTGTTTTTATTATTTTGGGCATTTTTATCATTTATATGATAATTATATATGATTTTGTCGTATTTGTTAGTGTCATCTTTTTTTATTGTCATAGTCACTGTTATCTTTATCACTATTAACATTTGTGAAAATGTAATTGTTGATTGTAATGATGATATATATACTAGTATTGTTGTTATTATTACTGTCGTTGTTGTTGTCATTATCGTTATTAGTAAAAAAAATAATGATAATAGTAATAATAATAATGATAATAATAATTTATTGATATTGTTATTATTGTTGTTGGTTTTCTTTTTGTTTTATGATTATTGTTACTGTTGTTATTATTTTTTAAATCTTTATTATTATTATTACTGTTATTATTGTTGCTATTGTTATTATAGTTAATATTATTATTTTTATTAATGACATTATTGTTATTATTGTTATCATTATCACCACTGTCATTATTATTACTGTCACTATTATTTTTGTTTTTATTATTATTATCAATTATATTGTTTTTATTGTTATTAAATTATTATCATCATAATCATTATTGTTATTTTATTATTATCATCATTATCATCATTATTGTTACTTTTATCATTATTGTTATCATTTTTATCATCATTGGAATGGTTATTGTTGCTGTTTTTGTTGGTGTTATTGTTAGTTTTGATATAATTATAATTAATTGTTGTATTTTTTATTATGAATATAAGTATTAGCTTTCGTATATTATATCATAGTATTTCTTTTTTTATTAACATTATTATTGTCATCATGATTATCATATCATTATTATTTTCATTGTTGTTATCTTTGTTGTTATTACCAATATTATAATTATTTTGAAAAATTATTTTATATATATTTTTATTGTTATGTATTTTCTATTGCTATTATATGCTATTATTAATATTATTATTATTTTTGTTATTATCGTTATTATTATTATTGTTATTGTTCAGGTTCATAGTAATAGTGGTAGATATATTGTTATCATTGTCATTATCATTGTTGTTAGTATTGTTATAAAAACATAACTATTGTTACTGTTATTATTATTATTGTTGTTGTTGTTGTTTTATGATTATTGTTACTGTTGTTATTATTTTTTAAAATCTTTATTATTATTATTATTACTGTTATTATTGTTGCTATTGTTATTATTGTTAATATTATTATTTTTATTAATGACATTATTGTTATTATTGTTATCATTATCACCACTGTCATTATTATTACCATCACTATTATTATTGTTTTTATTATTATTATCAATTATATTGTTTTTATTGTTATTAAATTATTATCATCATAATCATTATTGTTATTTTATTATTATCATCATTATCATCATCATCATTATCATCATTATTGTTACTTTTATCATTACCGTTATCATTTTTATCATCATTGGAATGGTTATTGTTGCTGTTTTTGTTAGTGTTATTGTTAGTTTTGGTATAATTATAATTAATTGTTGTATTTTTTATTATGAATATAAGTATTAGCTTTAGTATATTATATCATAGTATTTCTTTTTTTATTAACATTATTATTGTCATCATGATTATATCATTATTATTTTCATTGTTGTTATCTTTGTTGTTATTACCAATATTATAATTATTTTGAAAAATTATTTTATATATATTTTTATTGTTATGTATTTTCAATTGCTATTATATGCTATTATTAATATTATTATTATTTTTGTTATTATCGTTATTATTATTATTGTTATTGTTCAGGTTCATAGTAATAGTGGTAGTTATATTGTTATCATTGTCATTATCATTGTTGTTAGTATTGTTAAAAACATAACTATTGTTACTGTTATTATTATTATTGTTGTTGTTGTTGTTGTTACCACCATTATTGTTACTGTCACTGTTGTTATTGACATTGTTTCAATAATAATTGTTATTATTATTATTTTTGTTAATATTATTATTATAACTATTATTTATATTTTTTATAATTACTTTTATTATTATGATTGTAATTGCTCTTATCCTTACTATTACTATCTCTATTATTGTTATTATTATTATCATCATTATCATTGTCATTATCATTGTTGTTGTCATTCTTCTTCTTCCCATTATTATTGTTGTTGTTGTCAACCAATCATGCAGATGATGTGACTACTATTCTTCTTTTTATTCTTCTTATTATTATTATTTTTATTATTATTATTAACCCCAACCGTGACCATCACCTCATAAAAAAATTTGACTTGAGGGTTTGGTGACGTGAACATGCTGTCATGAGAAAATTTGGCTGAGGGCTGGTCTGATGGATGACTCACCATGAGTGCACAAAGCTCTTGGAAGGCTATTAAATTCAGAGGGCATTTAGGAAGGGGCTTTTGCATTATTTCCGTCGATAAACAAATGTGGAATGAACCGTCTGTGAGCCGGAACTGGAAGAGTACCAGTTTAACAGCAGTTTAACAGAATATACTTGGGGTTATTTAACCCAATGCTGATGGGTATGATGTGTACGTACGTGCTATGCCCACCGTAAGTTACTTGTTTGATTGTCTTCACACATAGATGGCAACACTTGTACTAAATCACCGATGAGTCAGTTACGAGTACTGCCTCTCTCGCTCGTTTACCCTTTTCTTTGATTTACGAAATATATTATGTTATCTTATTTAGCCGTTACTAATGTTAAAAACATTATAATAATTATGTTTATAATAAATATAACACCATCGATATTTATAGCACTAGTGAAAAATACGTTTTTCCCGCCATTTCAAATCAGGCACTAGCAGAGCCATATATGGGCAGACATTTCACAAAAGTATAGAAAATAGGCACAGCATTTTCCCCATTTTTTGTTCATTTTCCCTGGCTGTATTGGGTTAAGGGTAGGCTGTTTTATACCTGGGGTATAAGTTAGTCTTGGCCAATGTATTCCCTTGGGTATAAAATGGGCTAGGGCACAATATAACCCTTCCCCCCTTGAGGCCAAAGTATACCCCATCCCTTTTGCATGTAACAAGTGTATTACTATATTGCCATGTTACTATATGGCTGGTGTTATTGCCGATCATGCACTGACCTCTCAAGTGTAGGCATTCCATTGTGCACTGAAATTTACTGTATTATACTCAAACTTGGAATAT